TTGCTCATAGCTATTCTCCTAAGTCACAAAATTTAAGGCATGAAATCTCACAAGATTTATTAAGTGATAATAAATGGAAGACTTCTGACATCTAATTTAATGACTAATATCCCCCATTTCTCCATTTTTAACAGAATTTATGTATTAAAAGAAGTAGGAGGCACATTCTCATCATTGTTTCAGTTATGCATATCCCAAGTCACAAATGTAAATATTACCTGTATTTCCCTCCCACACAACAGGTCAGTGAGGTAATGCAAAATGAACAATCACTAATGACAGGGAAATAATTGTTTTACAGATATGTCTGAAAACATTTACTTGGTGTCAACAGGTCAGAGCTGGCCAATGAAAAGATTCCAATACAGTAACATGATTAATATGTGTAATATCATATTGTAAAGTGCAGATAATTTGAAAGTTATTAAATAGATATTTTACTGCTTAGGTTTTACTCTCATCTGAGTGTGTTAATTTGTCTTGTTTGTTTCACTGTGTCTAGATTCTAATGTTAGTCTGTGCATAAGATACAGCAAATGTTTCGAAAAAAAAATGTTGCATATGGTTTTCCATTAAATTTCTGACGAAAAAATTCCAGCATGGATTAGAATCAATTTTGTGGTAAATAGACTAAAAGACTGACTGGACATTAATCATAAACTGCACAGAAAGGTTAGACAGGAAAAGAAAACTAGTGCTGTAATTACTCCATGGAGCAACTAGAAAAAGGACACTTTAAAATAGCTTAAAAAGAACTACACAAATTCCCATGGTTTGAATCTTGTGTGAATGTAATAACTGGATGGAGGTTCAACACCTTTGGTCAGTAATGGTAATGTGTTGAGATGAAAAAATCATCCACAGTCCATGCAAGCATCAAAATCAGTCTGAAAAATATACCAGGTGCAAAAGTTCACATGGTATATATTAAATGTACAAAGTTTGGGAAAAAAATAAGTAGTTTCAGAGATCACCTAATGACCAGACAAAAATGTTTACAGACAGATTGTCATGGTCAGATTCCAATATAATATCCCAAACTTCATTTGTGGGAGTAGTTTTCTGACCAGAGAAATGTCCAGAGGGATCACTATGTGCATTCCTGTATAAAGGCTATCTAGTAAAGGTTGCAGGGAAACTGAGCATACATTAGAAGGGCCAAAATTGGGTTTGGGAGAGGTCTGACAATTCTGTATGACCCCCCCCCCTCCCTTTTCCTTTAAATCCTTTTAATTTTTAAAAACAATAGAGGAGCCTTGTTAATTCAGATGCCAATAATACAGACATTTCATCTTCCAGACAAACATTCTGGGGAACAGAATTACTATATATATCTACCAATTATAAAAGGTTTGTTTAGTAATCCGGACACTTCACTGATCAAGACAATTACTCGATCAGGAACACAAGTGACCAGATAAATGAGGCTCCAGTGGCAGATTTAAGGAGGGGTGCAACCGGCGCGCGCCCCCCCCCCCTAAAACTGTCAAAGTTAGCGTAAATCATAGTTTCGCCACGAAAATGTAAAAATGACTGCTTGGTAGACCTCATTTTTACCCTACAAAATCTCTAGAATCCAGGAGCTTCCGGGGGCTTTGCCCCCTGAGCCCCCACCAGGGCTTCGCCCTGGACCCACTGGGGGCCTCAAGCCGGCCCCCAGACCTCCTGCCTACTTTCTGCGCCCCCCCCCAACTTCAATTCCTGGATCCACGCCTGGGCTCCACTGTACACGTACCTCTTAATCATGTAATTCCTTGTTAAGATTGATCTATCATTTAAGAGGCTTTAATACTAAAGTTGTACATTTGTAAAACAATACCGTGGTAACAGCTTTGCTTCTTTTTTTACCTTTGACCAGTGCACCCTCTGACCTCTGATTATGACCTCAATTTCACGCAAAAAATTAACCTTGTCCTTCAATATGGCAAAGATTTTTATTTCCATTCCTGTTAGCAGGAATATCCTATTCATAACATCAAAGGTTAAAGCTGGTAACAATAACGACAGAGACAGTTAAAGACAATATGCTTCCTGTCAAAAAACACAAAAATGAGCAACAAAAATAAGCTTACCTAAGTCTTAATGCACCTGATGTAAGCCAAGATCTACAGTATGTATATCAATAGATCGTAAACAATTCACATGCTGACCGTCAGCAACATGCTTGTGACATAACTTGTCACAAAATTTACAGCACACTTTCACATATAGCTGCTGTCAATTTGGAATATTTAATTAGCTGCACATTTCTCCGGGGCATTAGTTTTATGAAGGTATAACACTCCCAGTATTACAATAGTGAATTAATGCAAGATTGATATGATGAACAGTTACTATTAAAAACTTAAAATATGATTTTACTATTAGAAACTTAAAAATATAAATCATAATTTCATTTCAAAAATAGTACTGAATAAAATTACTAAAAGAAAAAAATCAATTTTAATTTCAAAACCTTCACTGTGATTGAACCCTACAGTTTATCAAACAAATGAAGAGCTACATGGAGACACACAAGTAAATATACAGAATTCAATTACAATTGTGCACTTATGGCATATACTGCATGCAAGCCTAATACAATTTGCAGAGTATCAGTTTAAACAATCCTTACTCTAGCTAACTGTTCATAATTATTATTATTTGAATTAAAATGAAACCATTTGGTATTTATTTAAACCATTCATAGATGCATAAAGACACAACTCCAGTTCAATCCTATCTTTACTTTTCTTGGTTTATCAGTTTATTGAAATGACTATCCCACATAATTTACTGGCAATTTGTTCCATTTAATCACTTAATTAAATCTGTGTAAAGTTAAAATGTGTAACTATAAATATGAAAAGTAACATGCTTTTTTACCTATAGGAAAATGTGTGTTTATAAATGAAATTAAAAATTTGAACCACATTGCCATGCTTCAGTATTAATGATTTACTGTAACAATCAGATAACTTTTAAACCTTCAAAAGATGACAGTTGTGTGTTGAAAACACAGGCCTTTGGATCGCTGAAATCCGACTTTAAAAAATTGGGTGTATAAAAAAGATATTTTTTTTAACACCTTAATTTTTTAAAGCGATCTAAGGGCCTGTGGTTGAAAATGATCACAGATCCATGACAAAAAATTCTGACCTATTAGCTGAGCCCAGTAAATTTCCAATATAAAGACAAAAGCATAGAATTACCACATATATATACAGAGGTTATATATATACTGCTGTTGATTTGGGTATCATGTAGATTCTGCTGCTTATCACCATTAAACAAAAGTACTTACACCCCATCAGACCTTATTTCCCACTATGTGTGCATCACACCAAGTCTTAACTGCAGAGAGACTCGGGAATGGTGATAAAACACCAACACTGTTATCTATTGGGGCATATTGTAATTAACTACTCATCAATTTGTCTCCTAATTTAGATTTTTATGTGGACAAGATTAGGCTTTTAAAGGATAATTGACTTTCTTGTGTTTGGAAGCTTAGTTTCATGTTTACAAGGAAAATTAATTTAAAATCAATAAGTTCATAATAAACTATTTTGGTAATTTACATGACACAAACTTAATCTATATAACAGCTGTACAAGGAGTTAAAACCTGTGACCCATTTTCCTTGACTTCTTTGTAATCAATCTAAACTGTGAAACAATATACAAAAATCACTTATTTTCATGGGGTCCAATTTTCATGGTTTGAGGGTAAAATATTGGTTCATGAAGATTTGATTTCATGGTTGAAGAAATGTTGAGTCCTTATATATTTGAAATGTTTCATTTGGAGGACAAGGATTTGTGGGTCTCCTCATATCACAAAAACACCCCCCTCCCCCCCAAAAAAATAGTGATGTCACAATATACTACAAAATGTATAATAAGCACCTGCTCCATCTAAGATACATGTACGTAGAGCTGGCAAGACGTCAGTATAATAGTAAAATGTATATAAAATCTACTGACAGTGTATATAATTATACTACCATACTAAAATAGTGGATAAATAGAAAAAAATCATTTAAAATTATATGCATAATGACAGAGTGTACCTGGTATGTATTTACTTAAATGGATAAATGAAAAACATGTAATTTTTAATGCAAGTATTAATTCCTGAGTAATTGGTAAAATAAGCCTAAGGCAAATAGGGAACTGGAAACCCCTCCCTTCCCATAACCCAAATCTCTAAAATAGTAATGGCACCCCCACCAATAAAAAAAAATACAAAAAAAAAAATTAACCTGTATATCATAGCTTGACAAAATGAAAATTACTACATCAATACATTATTTAGACAAAATTTGTAACATGCAATCTATGAATTGACAGAAACAAGCAACACCAAAATTAGAAGTAAATAAATGTCCTGATTACTTGACATAAATCTATCATTCATTATTTTTCCACTCACCCGCCCTTCTTCCTGTGATCCAATCTGCTACTTATGGCAGGTCACTCGTCAAACTTCAGTATTGCATAGGTGATCACTTCCTAATGATTGCAGCCTTTGTTAAGGGTCTCCACTTCTCAGTACTTGAATTCACTTTATTCCATTACACTTAATTACTTCACTTCCTCAACACTTCAGATAACATCCCCACGACACATTTCCTCCCCCACTTCTTAAATGAAGATACATACATTGCAATCTGTCCCCCCTCCAAATTTAACCTGATTACAATTCACTATAATTTATATCAGTGGCCAGAAATATTTTTTAAGGTAATAAAGAATGGAGTATTGTTCATTTTGTACATGTGTCTTGTTATCTGATGTGCCATAGGGCATAAGGAAAATAAAGAACTGAAATTGAATATCAATAAATAGGTAAAGAACTAATCCTTTTTCAATATTACAATGAAAAAAATCAGGTATTTATCAAAACTTTGCACTTATTAAAACATATCAGTTTTATTCATGCTTTTCATTACATTAAAGAGAGCACTATTTCATGTATTTTATTTGTTCAACAAAAAAAAATATATATAATTTTTTTTATTATGCATAAATATTTTTTGTAACAAGTGATTTGACAATGACACGAGCAAATGTTTGTTGCACAACTCGATAGAGAGTCCGATATTTAATAGCTAGCTCCTGTTTGGGAGTGTCTATTTTTAGCTTCTTTTTGAGCGGCACATATGACCTGTCTAGGTCTGAGAGTTCGGTTTCCATTAAGTTACTGGCCGCTGTCAAGTGTGACATACAAACTCGACCAATCTGATGAAGGAAAGATGTTACATCTTCACAAAGTGGAGGGAAAGCTTGACACACCTTGGTGAGGCATGGAACAGTCTCTAGGAAAAAATTCACTCTCTCTGTGTTCTCCAACACTGAAAATAATTTCAGACCTATAAAACATCTAAAAGATCACCTATAACATGTACCCCGGTATAAGCTTAGTAATTACTTCACGAAGTACATATATAATTACTTTTAATTACAAAGTACTTATAGGTATTTCATGATTATTTTCATTGTAAAGTTGTTGAACAACCCTTTCTTTGCTAGCAACACAGTGCAGTGTCTTGTATAAACCAGAAGTCTCTGATGAGACTGTAGCTCTACTGGTCTGTTTGTATAACAAAAGAAAAGTAGCACTTGGATTTGAAACATTGCAACATGCAACAATAAATAGAATTATGTATCTTAATGTAGTCTACTTCTGTGCCAAGTTATATTGAAATCAAATGAAACTGTAGGAGGAGTAGCGTTTTGAAAGTATTTCAGGGAAATTTCTATTTTTAGTAACCATGACAACACCATTCACCCAAATAAAAAAAAAAACAGAAATACATATTATGTATCATAGTGTATTCTAACTGTGTGCCAAATTAGATTGAAATCAGACCAAAACTGTAGGAGGAGTAACGTTTAATGGGGATTTCACAAAAATTTCTATTTTAAGTAACCATGGCAACACTGTTCATCGAATTCAAAAACCAATGCAAAAAATTATGTATCTTAGTATAGTCTTCTTGTATGCCTAATTATATTAAAAGCAGACTAAAACTGTAGCAGGAGTAGCGTTTTAAAGGAATTTCACAGAAATTTCTATTTTTAGTAACCATGGCAACACCGTCCATTGAATTCAAAAACTGATGCAATAAATTATGTATCTTAGTGTAGTCTACTTGTGTGCCAAGTTATATTGAAATCGGACCAAAACTGTAGGAGGAGTAGCGTTTTAAAGGAATTTCACAGAAATTTCTATTTTTAGTAACCATGGCAACACCGTCCATCGAAATCAAAAACCGATGCACTAAATTATGTATCTTAGTGTAGTCTACTTGTAAGCCAAGATATATTGAAATCGGACTTAACTTCTTATCTACCAGTGCTGCTGCTGTAGTTCACTACCACACACAGCTCTTATCTTTCACCGCAGGAGCAGTGTGAGGCTTAATTACCAGACAGATTTTGCAGCTACAAGAATTTGCAGCTGGAATAAATAGTACACATGTGTAAAGCTCATTATCTCATTTATTATTTGGAATATTTTAAAAATCAAAAGTGTTTTATAATCTTAAAAGTTTAAATTTCACATTTTCTGAATATTGTCCAATATGACCAATTAGTTACTTCACAGTTCTCAATTATTTACAACATAAACACTCATTTTCCAAGAAAAATGTACAATTTCTGCATATATTTCATCTTAAAAGTTCCTGATGCCACTTGAAGAAACAGTCATTTTTAATACAAAGTCTGATGTTGCACTGCCTGCATCCAGTTGACACTTCATGCCTTTTCTGCTGTTTTGCACAGCCCTTGCAGCGTCCTGGCTTTTCAAACTGAATGGGCCAGTGGGCAAGGCCACAATTTCCGGTTACTGCTGGGGCCTTTCGTTTTCTGCTACCCCTGAAGTCTCCAATCATTTGCTGGGCCAAAGCCTTTCTGAAGTCCAGTTGGGTCCTTTTTTTTTCTTTGTTTGTTTTGGTCCTCAGTTTGTGGTTGGGCGATTCCTGCATACAGATGAGTGCATTTACCAGGGCCAAGTCAAACCAAAACCAAAACAAGTATTTGTACCATTTTTTGGCCTTTCTGCAGGTAGAGTACTGCATCCTCTTCTGATCTGCTAGGTCAACTCCAAACATGTACTTGTTGTACAGTTCTGAGACACTAGGAGCTGACACATCTTTTCTAGTTCCATCTTTCTGACGCCTTTGCACGATCCTTTCATGAGTAGGGTCACAGTTTGTACTTAGATAAGTAACAACTTTTTTGTCCTTCCAAGCAGTGGCTACAAGATTTCCTTTCTGCATTGTTAGACTGTCACCCCTGTTCTTTAATTTCGCACTCTTTATGGCCTCTGGCATGCCACGACGGTTCACTCGAACGGTTCCACAACAGTAAATACCTTCACGTAACAGCTGTTCGTATAGTTCGGGACTTGAGAAGAAATTGTCCATGTAAATAACATGAGACTTGTGAACAAGTTTCCGAGTCAAGTCTTTCACAACACGAGATCCTAATCCTTCTTCTGTACGACCGCCAGCTACACGTCCCGTATACACTTGAAACTCGTGCACATATCCATTTTTTGGTGAGGCTCGTTCCCACACTTTAATCCCAAATTTAGTTGGCTTGGCTGGCAAGTACTGTTTAAAGGACAGTCTTCCTTTAAAAGCTATCATACCTTCATCAACTGATTGTTCTTTGTGGGGATGATAGTTTTCATGACAAGTTTCAGAGAGTTTGTCAATAACTGGCCTGATGTGACACAATTTGTCATGTCCTGGTTGTCCTCGGGCTGGGTTTTGTGTGGTGTCATTCATATGGAAATATTTTGAGATTCTTTCAAAACGAGTCCTGGTCATGATGGTTGGAATACTGGGTATTTCAAATGGCCACGTTGATTTCCACGCCAGTGTATATGACGGCACTCCAAGGACTGAAAAAATGATGTGAATTCCTAAGAACGCCATCATCTCGGGAATCGTGGTAGGCACCCAAATTTTGTCGGGTCGTGTGACGATTGATCTCGCAGCATAACCGTTGGTTTCTTCCACAATTTTTTCAATCAAGGTTGTAGGAAAGAATTTCAAGAAAAAATCCAATTCTTTCTTGTCCTCGTCCAGCACAAAAGACGGGCCAACTTCCTCCGTAAATTCAGTCACGTTTGGTTTGTGTAACTGTCGTGACCAGGTCGTGTCGTCTATTTCCTCCTCTGACTCTTCTTCCGAAGATGAATCCTCAAAATCAGATAGAGAAATATCACTACCGATACTTCTTCTCTCTACTGCTTCAATATCTGCTTCTGTAAATCCCTCAAATTCATCAGAATCACTGTCCGATAAAAATATGTCGAGTATGTTTTCCGCCATTTTGAACTGCTTCTAGAACTATAAACAACGCGCTGGGAATCTCCTTTCTATATATTGATAACACTGCCTAATATGGAAACATTACGTATCAATTTACAGATTAGCCTTTCCTTAAACTGATTTTCATTGGTTCTGAGTTGGGGTCCTCCCTCAAACTAACCAATCAGACTTACCGTAACAAATATAAAAATGCGGATATTTCAGTCAGTACGAATGCGCAGGTATTTGTTTACAGCGGTTATATCCGCCAATGCGGATTAGCGTGTAGTAAAATCTGACGGGTTTATCCGTCACTGCGAATATAAGCGAGATAAAATAAGCTGATATATCCGTCAGTGGTAGGTAAAGAGTTAAACTGTAGGAGAAGTAGCGTTTTAAAGGAATTTCACAGAAATTTCTATTTTTAGTAACCATGGCAACACCGTCCATCAAAATCAAAAACCGATGCACTGAATTATGTATCTTAGTGTAGTCTACTTGTGTGCCAAGTTATATTGAAATCGGACCAAAACTGTAGGAGGAGTAGCGTTTTAAAGGAATTTCACAGAAATTTCTATTTTTAGTAACCATGGCAACACCGTTCATCGAAATCAAAAACCGATGCACTAAATTATGTATCTTAGTGTAGTCTACTTGTGTGCCAAGTTATATTGAAATCGGACCAAAACTGTAGGAGGAGTAGCCTTTTGAAAAATTGTTTACAGACAGACGGACAGACAGACAGACAGACAGATGGATGGACGATGGACACCTTACTATCGCATAAGCTCTTCTGGTCTCTGACTAGTAGAGCTAAAAAGCACAAAAATAAATTTACCTAAAAATAATACTCATGAAGTCTTAATTTTTAATTCTAATTACTATACTGTAAAGACATTTTAATCAGAGTTTTAGAAGAATATGCATGCAAGTACACCAGCCACAAAGAGAGATATGCTCACCTCCGATCATAGTAAACATGACATTAATACAGAGCTTGGCCACACTGAGGGATCTCGGTAAGGCGTACTGACAACACAGGTGGGACATCAGTTTGATAGCGAAGATCTAATAATAAAAAATAATCAAGATAAATTAATGAAGACAATAAAAATTAATCAAGACAATAAAAATTAATCAAGACTGAAATTTGAGGTAGTTTAAGGAGGTATGCCACACCAAACTCTTATTTACTGGATGTTTAGAGAATCTCTTTTGAAAAATGATTTCATCATCAAAAGACCACATTAGCTATGAATTATTTTATATAATTTTTTTGTGTTTTTCAGAGAAAAATTGAAAAAAAATTATTTTGTTGCAAATGCTGTTAAATAATGCATAAAATAAATATCTAATAAAACATGTCATGAAGAGTCAGTTAGACATTTTATTTATTTTGATAAAAAAATATTTATGAATTTGAAAATCATCATTAATTACTAATATTTTTTAATTCTATGAATAAAATCTTCAGAAACATTTTACATATATACAAGCAAATTGTAAGAATTGTAGTCCCCAGCTCTTTGTGTCACAGTGGATGGGATGCCATTATTTATGGAATATAGTGTAACTGTCTTAATTTTTGTTTGTGTGTCATGTCTTGTCTGTGCATTATACAAAAAAAAAAAAACAAATTATTGAATTAAAAACAGTTATGGCAAAGATTATAGCTTCTCAAAACTATATCAAACTTCAAGATCAAGGTCATGAGGTCAAATATTATAATACAATCTGAAAGGTCTTGTCACAAGTAATGCACATATGAACCAGAAGTCTCTGATGAGACTGTTGCTCTACTGGTCTGTACATATGCATGTAACAAAGAAAAAGTAGCACTTGGATTTGCAAAGAAAAAGTAGCACTTGGATTTGAAACTTTGTAACATGCAGCAATAAATAGAATTACGTATTTTAATGTAGTCTACTTGTGTGCCAAGTTATATTGAAATCAAACAAAAACTAGGAGGAGTAGCGTTTTAAAGGAATTTCATAGAAATTTCTATTTTTAGTAACCATGGCAACACGGTTCATCGAAATCAAAAACCAATGCACTGAATTATGTATCTTAGTGTAGTCTAGTTGTGTGCCAAGTTATATTGAAATCAGACCAAAATGGGAGGAGTAGCATTTTAAAGGAATTTCACAGAAATTTCTATTTTTAGTAACCATGGCAACACCGTTCATCGAAATCAAAAACTGATTCACTAAATTATGTATCTTAATGTAGTCTACTTGTATGCCAAATCATATTGAAATTAGACCAAAACTGTGGGAGGAGTAGCATTTTAAAGGAATTTCACAGAAATTTCTATTTTTAGTAAGCATGGCAACACCATTCATCAAAATTAAAAAAACTGATGCACTAAATTATGTATCTTAGTGTAGTCTACTTGTGTGCCAAGTAAAATTGAAATCAGACCAAAACTGTAGGAAGAGTAGCATTTTAAAGGAATTTCACAGAAATTTCTATTTTTAGTAACCATGGCAACACCATTCACCAAAATCAAAAAACTGATGCACTAAATTATGTATCTTAGTGTAGTCTACTTGTGTGCCAAGTAAAATTGAATTCAGACCAAAACTGTAGGAGGAGTAGCATTTTAAAGGAATTTCACAGAAATTTCTATTTTTAGTGACCATGGCAACACCGTTCCACAAAATCAAATACTGATGCACTTACTTGTGAATATTAGTGTAGTCTACCTGTGTGTCAACTTATATTGAAATCAAACCAAAACTGAGGAGGAGTAGCCTTTTGAAAAATTGTTTACAGACAGACGGACAGCTGGACAGACGAACGGACAGACGGACTAGGGACAAAATGTGATCAGAAAAGCTCACTTGACCTTTCTGCTCAGGTGAGCTAAAAATCATATAAAATAATTAATAACTTATATTTTTCTTTCAATGATAAACTCATAATTATGTCAAAAGAGATACTTTAAATATCCATTAAATAAAAGTTTTGTGTGGAATATCTTAATTACCGTAAGTTTTGGAAGATAAGACGATACTTTTTTTCTCAGAACCGCTGGGGTCGTCCTATTTAACGAATCGACCAATCTAAGACTCAAGTTTATGAAAAATGCCTCCAAATCAGAAAAATTTACGTCAATTTTAAAGCAAATCTGTGTCATTTTTGTATTTTTAAAAATTATTTTACCGAGAAAAAAATAATAAACAATAAAGAATTAAATATTTATTCCATTGATTTCTTACAAAATAAGTTCCATTAAATATCTGTCGATGTACAAAAAAACTTATTACCGGTATATCATCTAGTAATTAATGTTTCAAAGTATATTTACAACATGCTGTGTCCATCTTGTGAAGTTGGAAGTCGCAATCGTTTACTAAAAAGAAAACCGCAGCCGTATCAAAATTTAAAATACGGAAGAGTTTTCACAATTGCAATTGTAATTTTTTTTAACCATTTATTTATAACGATTAATTGAAATAGTATGCCTAAATATTTGTTCCTTGTCTTGTGATATTTATTTAGATGTAAAATGCATGAAGTAAATTGTTGCCAGTAAGTTTCTAAATTATTTTATTTTCCACATATGCTGCTAGTAATAACAATTTTGTTTTATATATTAATTAATTATAATAAAACGAACTTATATTGAATATACTATTATACATTTTTGGAAGTTATAAATTCATTTATTTACGATACGTTATTTTTTATTCACAGTTTTTTTTTTGTTTTGTTTTTGTTTTACAAAATAAATGTTTTTTTAAATGATAGAATTGAAAGCTTCCTCGTACCCAAGGGGTACACTGAATTATACAAAGATTGGCTTCTAATAGAATTTTAATTGTCTGACAGATAAAGGGATATACACTGTGTACACGAAGGTGTTAATACCTGTGTTGGTTAAAACACCTGCGGGGCATGATTAACAGATTCACGTGCCGTTACAAGGGTATGAGTGCTATACATCATTGAACAAACAAAACTGTGAAATTCTTGATGACTGTTAAATTGCGAATGTACTCTCAATTAAATTTATTTTTTACAACAATATTTCATGCAAAATTATAGCATGTTTTAAAATATGATTAATTTCATTTGCGCACTGTTACATGTAATAGTCATTTGCGTGTTTTAGCAAATCCCTGGAAAAGAAAATATAAAAATGGCGGTCATCGAAGTTAATTTTTTACCCCGGTAAATAATGTCAGAATAAAAGAATGTGTCCACGATGTTCTAAAATGAAATTGATTATGTTTGATTTCGGGTATTTCCCTAATTATAGCTGTCTTATACTACCGTATTTATGTGTTTAACGAAAGAGTCAAACTACGACGGCATTGAACAGGCAAGTTGGAGAAAATACATTATATCACAATTCAAGGAAGTTTTAACTACGTTTGTATAAAACACTATTAAAATATTGTACTCATAAAAATACTAGTTTATTTTCTCAATACGTTAATATCACGGGTTAAGTTAAAGAGGTTTACATGTTCTGATACGTAGTATCTAAGTAAGAATCTCTAGAAATCGATGAACAAAGCCTCGTCCTATCGTCCAAATTCGTCCTATCTAAGGATTTTTTTAAAATTACGGCTGAAAATGAGCCTTTCGACCTATACACCCCATCGACATATACCCCAAAACTTACGGTACACCAAGTACACCATACAGTGAACCCATATACATGTATGATCCAATTAATGTCATTATCTCATTTAGGACTTGGTCCTGCAATACAAACTTGCAAGGAGCAATGCTTTTTTTTTTTGAAAACATGATTTCGTTTACCAAATTATTATTTTTTTAATATAAGGAAACATAAAAGTTATTTCTATTAGATCACATGGGTAAAACAGTAAAAAAAAAGTTTAAGCATAAACAGTGATTAACATGAATTATTTTAGCCTGACCTGCTTCTCTGGCTGTGGCTGACTTAAGATCTCTGGAATATAATCCAGACAGATGTGTATGGAGGGGATCCCTGTGGTTGTCACGGGTAACAGAGTATCTGGATAACCCTAAATAACGAAGGTTAAAACATCTCATTAAACAACTGTCAGAGTTGTTCCCCTTGGAAAGCATTTTAGAATGGAAAATTGTCTAATGAAGTCAAAATCAGTCCTTTTTGCTTCTATTTTATTTTTTAAATATCTAAGCACAGGAGTCATACCTGGAAGTGAACAAGCTTGGCAAGGTGGGGTTCTGTAATGAACAGCTGATGTATAAATGAACAGATGATACACTGAATCTCCCGACAGTTGGTCAACAGACCCTCTTGTCCCTGCAGAAAATAAAGAAAAAAATGTATTTCTTAACAGTTTTTCTACTGTTGTACATAAAATGAAAAAAGTTTCTTAATCATCATTCTGAATTGCCCTCAACTTCAATATATACATGTATTATAATAGAAAGTACACATGAATTCAAAGTACTAGTACTTTATAGAATTGTTAGGAAATAAATGTTAATTGATACTTTTTGAAAGTTGTAAAGTAAAATGAACAGGTGGATTTATTAATGTAAGTCTTACTTTATATATTTTATTTAGGATTTTTTGTGACAACTGTCAGTGTGACTGATTAGAGCAGGATTTACCTCCCTTTGCTCCTCCTCTGTGGGAAGACAACACTCCAGTAGGATCTGTATAATAGCACTCTCCTGGGCCGCTATCAGGGCATGCTTTAGGTCCAGCCTCTCCCGATCAGCCTGAGCTGCATTCTCCAGGATTGGATTAGACAGCATGTGATTGTGTAAATAGACTCGACTGGCCTGGAGGTAAGCTGACAAAACACGTAACAGGATATCCAATATCGGAGGGCACCTGTAAATGTAGCAAATAGGCTCAGTGTCAAGAAAATAAAGACTACAACAAAACACATAACAAGATGTCCAATATTGGAACACAACTGAATATACACATACTTTAAATAACACAAATGGTACAAAATCAACAATAATGAATTTGAATACTGTCAACAAAGAACAAGGTTCACTTAGGGAATCTTCTGGCCCTCTGAATTGTGAGGGCAAGGCAATAAATATCAACTGGACCCTTGGTGAATGCCTATCTATTAAATTCAAAAAAAAATTCTCGATTGTCCATGCATTATGACATCATGAATTATGTCATTATCCCCATATGCTGAAAATTTCTTGAAAATGGTCAAAAGTTTGAACTTTTTTTCTGTATTTCGTATAGAGCACAACTTTTGATCAAAAACATGCAATACATCTGTACATAATGATAGAACTGTTTTTAATGATTATAAAACATGTTTCATTTTTTGGATGGAGAAGCATTTTAATATTTTAATTCTTTGCTGAAGGAACTCAAACACACTCGTTTTCTGCAAAATTCAAAAACATGGTCGTCTCTAAAAGCCTTTTTTTCCAATATCTGGACTCAGTCTCTACTTTATATTGATCTTGAAAAGGGACGTAGGGTGATAGTAAATTAATTGGTATATGAACAGGACCAGTGAACCTAGTTCTTTAGCATTTATTACTCTCATCTGAAGACCCTATCAATATACTATTATTGGCTGATCTTATACAAAATTAGTATTTTTCTTATATAATTTATAAAAAGACATACAAAATTAATGATGAATAAGCATGTGTACTACTGTCAGTATGTTTTTACCTGAAGACACGTTCATCACACCTGAGTATAATCAGTGGATCTACAGTAATGTCGTTCTCTGTGTACGGAGTCACCTGGAATGTTGTTCTCTCTGACAGTCGGAGGGAATTCACAGTGGACAGTCTTAAACTGATGACAGAAAACAACAAAAAAGTGGACACATTTGTCTATGTCAAGTTATTTTTATCAATTTGCCATTTAAAAATCAGTCAATTGATTTGTATATAAGCATGTATATTAATCACATTACATGACAAAATAATGGAAGAAATCTCAATAACATGAGTTTGTTTAGTATTTTTACATACTTTGTACATACAGTTAAAATTAGCTTGCTTAAAATCATAGATTCTTTGCTTGTATCTTGTACAAATAATGGGAGGAGCCACAACCACTACTAACAATCACTCCCATATCCACTTTAGGTATGACTGTTTTACCTTCGTGGAGAGACACCGTGAAGAAGAAACCAGACTTTCTTGATTAGGTCCACTATTTTTCTGGGCACCACCTCATCCAGCATGATGGGCAGAGAGGATACCACTGGCTCAGCAAAACGTAACAAGTCTGGGGCAGACATCTTCAGCATTGCCTGCAGCTGTGAGATCATCTTCATTGGATGTGTGGTTAGATTCCTCAGTGCTGTAAAATGAAGAAATTAAGGAGAACATTTTGCTCTCCCTTCAAACTGCATTAAAATTTTGAATCGTCTTCCCAATGAAAACCATATTCTGATGCTAGAGTAAATTACTTATTCTTTTTTTTTCAGTAAACAGACAATGCCAGCCTGTAATTCACAGAAGTATTGGCTAGAACTAACCATCATTGAAGTTATCAATGGTACAGGGGATATTGTACATGACTGATGTCTCTGCCACCAGAGATTCCCTAATCAGTTTCTCCTCCAACCAATCCTCCACAACACACAGGTGTGGATAATGGGTCACCAGTAACCTGCATAATATTTATAACTTAAATGGAGTTTCCTTCTTTCAAACATTGCAAAGGAGACAACTGTGATCCAAAATAATTGGAAAGACTTAAATTAAATGATTAAATAATATTAAGGATACAGATGACAAGTATCCGTGCCTTACTTTAGGAGTGGTGAGAATAATCCAGCGTACTGCTCCTGCTCTCTCTGAGCCGTCTGTAACAGGAAGTTAATAGGAATCTGGGCCAGTAGTGTGTCATGGTAGGATTTCACCTTCCTGTTGGACATTACTGAAAACAGGAGTAAAATGTCATACATATAAAGTCAGGAAAGGTTCTCCTATATCGTTTATGCATATTATTTAACGTAAAAACATGTAATTCCATTGGTCAGAATTGTTGAGAAATACAGGTGACATGGTTTTCCTGAATGAAGAGTCAATATCTTACCAAGAGTTTTCATATGTGTCAATACTATGTCTTCATAATGGAGTAAATAATAAAGCATGAGTAGCTGTGGAGCAAGTTCTGATTTAGAAGTTGAACTTGATGACTCCTCTCCTTCTGATTTTGACCAATGAAACACTGAAGATTTGTACACATTGAGTATTTCCTCCTCTGTGATTGGTTCATTTAGATGATCAGTCTTGGTGCTTTTGATGACTGTGGAGGTGACATAAACATCAATAAGGGAGGTAACTAGTGGATGGAGTGGTGTAGAACAGTTACAAATTTGCTGATAAATCCAGTCCTATAAAGGAAAGAAATTGTCAAATGAAGAAATATGATAAAATATGGTAATCAAATGTTTAATACTTGCTAACCCAAACAATTATTATCTACATGTATGTGAAAATGAGGCAAAATCACATCAAACTATGAGACCAGTCAGTAAGGACCCCACTGATGGATATACTGTATATCTAAGAGTAAGGTTAGAAGAAACTAAAATAAAATTTAAAATAGACACTCTAACCTGGTACCCTCACAAAGATACTTGTATTTAAGTGAGCTCATATCAACATTACTGAGATTAGCTAATAATAAATACACTGTACATATGCATACATGTATTTCTAAAATAGAATGTAGTGAATCAAAAGCTAGATGAAATGCAGATATCCAATGATGTGCAAATTTCAGTTCTGATACCAGTCTAACAGACCTACACCTTACACCATTCATTTACACTGCAGTGTATTTCAATACATATACATATTTTCATGTTTTTCTTTTATTTTCATAAAGAGACAAAGTGTCTAGTTAATATAAGAAATTTTGACTTGAATTTTTCATTACTGTACCTTTATTGGTACTTTGTGTTTGGAAAAGGAGCGACTCTTTAGAAGTTGATAAATACTGTTGATAGGAAGATAACCTGTCATGTTTGCATTCAGTCCAGGTGTCACAGGAACCTTCACTGCATGGGACGTAATCACCTAAAAATGCACAGGTATAACAGCATTATATTATTTCACACTATCACAGGAATCTCTGCATCACATCAGGAAAAAGATGACTGATTATCACTGACCCATACTAATTCTGGGTGAATTAAAAAAAAAATGACCACCAAATTGAATTTTTTGGAAAAAATTCAACTACTTATAACATATTTTTCACTTAAATCATCATATTGCACATGCATTCTAGTTTAAAATCCTGAAGTGGCAATAGAATAGACAATTGGATTAAAAAGTTTTAGAATTTTTATTAGTAAAATTTCTTTTGGAAAAAAATAAATATCATTACACCTTAAAAGACTTTGTAAAATACATAATCACATGAAATTATAGTTTTTTTGCTTCAAAATGGTAGAAGGGATATAAATGATTAAATCTAGACCTTGATTGAGTATCTTCTCTTGTATATGTGACAAAAAATTGGCTTTTTGATTGTAATTTTACATTATTTTTTCAATTCTGGTTTGAAAAGTTTTAATATGAACAAAATATGAAGCAATAAAATTCCCCAAAATTCACTTTTTTGTCCGTTCAAGTCAATTCTTTAAATCTAAGCCAAAAAAGAATTTTTATATACGAGTTCTCTTACAACAAGAGGCCCATGGGCCACAGCGCTCACCTGAGTAACATTGGCCTTGCTGTTTTTCACCTGATTTCTCCCCCCCCCCCCCGTAGTACTTATTGTGGCCCCGCCCTATCCCCAGGGGTCATGATTTGAACAATTGGAATCTACACTACCCCAGGATGCTTCCAAGTAAGTTTCAGCTTATCTGGCCCAGTGGTTCTTGAGAAGAAGATTTTTAAAGATTTTTCCTATATATTTCAATGTAAAACTTGGATTTCCTATTGTGGCCCCACCCTACCCCCGGGGGTCATGATTTGAACAATTTAGAATCTACACTACCTTAAGATGCTTCCAAATAAGTTTCAGCTTTTCAGGCTCAGTGGTTCTTGAGAAGAAGATTTTTAAAGATTTTTCCTATATATTTCAATGTAAAACTTGGATTCCCTATTGTGGCCCCGCCCTACCCCCAGGGGTCATGATTTGAACAATTTAGTATCTACACTACCTTAAGATGCTTCCAGATAAGTTTCAGCTTTGCTGGCCCAGTGGTTCTTGAGAAGAAGATTTTTTAATGACCCCACCCAATTTTTGTATTTTCTTGATTATCTCCCCTTTGAAGGGGACTTGGCCCTTCATTTTAACAATTTAAACTCCCCTTCACCCAAGGTTGCTTTGTACCAAGTTTGGTTAAAATTGTCCCAGTGGTTCTTGAGAAGAAGTCGAAAATGTGAAAAGTTTACAGACAGACGGACGGACAACGGGTGATCAGAAAGGCTCACTTGAGCTTTCAGCTCAGGTGAGCTAAAAAATACTAGATTTTGACGTGACCCTATGTTACATTATTGTGTTGCACTCCTGACATCTGACATGTATTTTATTTAACATTGTTTTAAAAATTATAACACACAATAACCCATTCTTACTTTGTAAATTGATTTATCATTTTGATATTTTTCATCGTTTACGGCAGGTTTTTCATATTTTGAAGACCATAAAACATTATTATTTGCAAAGTGTAATATATATAAATTTTATTTAAAAATATATGTGAAATGATGAAAACTATTCCCTGAATTGACTGTAAAATTTCTGTAATTTGTTCATAGAAATAGTGTTTTAAACATTAAACATTTTTTTTCAACTTATTTTTTAGTAAAGATAGTTAAGGTATTCAATGTATAATGAAGGGATTTAAACAATTTTGAATCATTTTAAACTAGTTAAAATTGCATTGCTAGATAACGTTGAAAGTGAAATGAACCAAATTCACATGACTGATAACATATAAGAAGCTGGTCATTTTGCATTTTTAAAGTTTTTGAAGAGTTATCTGCCCTTGATGCAAAGAAGAAAATTTTAATTTCGTCAAAATTTATGTGGTAAATGATAAATTTTATTTCATATTTTAATAATGAGACAGTGTACGCATATTTTCACCAAAAGCTTTTAATGAAATTCAAAATACTTTTTACAATATTTTAACTAGAAAACTGACCAGTCAGCAAGGGTCCCGCGAGGGGTAGAAATATAAGGGTGCAGCTAACAGAATGAGAATTTTAATTGATTACAGAAATTTAAAAATATATGAAGAAGAATATGCAATAACAACTGTATTTATAAAATTTCAAGATAATTCCTACATATCCAACAACCTGTAAAGAGTATCCCTGTATTTACATAAGGCAGTAAAAAACATCACATCTACAATTACTCAATTAAATGTATAATTAAACAAGAATACAGCATGTGTTTTCAAATATCACCCAGGCTTGACCTTAACTTCAAAACAAACATCAGTTGCAGACAAAGGTTAATTTATCTTAAAGTGACAAATAAAGATAAGCCTGGAAAATCTTCTGCCCCAGACAAGATAATTAATCCCAAGGGATTAATTGTACTGCTCTCTTATCCTTTTCTTCCAAGTTTACAATCAGAACTCTTTCAGTAATGATAGAATGAGATTATTATTGGACTACCCATTATAATTAACAGATTTCTTGAATTTACATATGACAGCCAAAAGAAAATGAATAAATAAATAAAATAAATAAATAAAAACAAAAGAATAAAAAAAAACATATCTTTATGTTTATCTTGTTTTTAGAATTCAATAAAATCATAACTCATTTTATATTTTACCAAAATAAAGTATGAACATTATTTAAATCCACAGTTCAGAGAATGTAAACATCATTCAGAATTGACCTTAACTTCAAAACAAACTTCATTTGCAGACACAGGTGTTAATTAATCTCAATTTGACAGACACAGATAATGCTTTGGATTTTCTTCAAGAGGAAAGTTAATTAATCCCATGGGACTAATTGCAGCTTTCATAGTTTACAATAGGAACATTCTCAGCAGTTATCTCTCTTTGCCCTGGCATTCATTCTAATGTAAAGTTAAGGAATCTACCCCACCACCCCAGCTCCAAAGTGGATGACATAGAGAACCAAACTTAGCATCAAAATATGTCTTACTGCCTCTTCAACCAACATACCAAATTTGAACTTAATTGGTCAACTACAAAAAAAGTTATTAGAAAAAAACAGAAAATTTGTGGATGGAAGAATGACAGACAGACAGACAGACAGACAGACAGAGTGATTACTATAGGGCACCAGCAAATCCTTGCGGGGCCCTAATAACATATGCATCGCCCATAGACTTCAATGTAAAATTCAAGGTGCAATTAATTTGACCATAATCAAAATTTTTAAAATTTCTTGGTGGAGTATTTTTATTTCACAACACCATCAAAATGATACTATAATTACAAATATAGGACCGTTCATTTATTAGATACAAAATACGGTCGCTATACATTGAATACCTTAAAAAGCATTGGTTATTATACAGCAGTTTTGTTGCACTCCTGACTGCATAAAATTTAAAATTAAAACCATAGAACACAAAAATTCATAAAGTGTTGGCGACATCAAGTGGTAACGAAATTGTGCAGTACTTATAGTCCAATACTTCATAATTAAGACAGATGAAAGTATTTAAAATTCACATTTTATCTGGAATTATTCCCTATTTATGCCAAAAAACTAGCTTAAATGTATATTTAGAAGATAAAATATATTTTATAGCATATTTTCCTTTATAGGACAAACACAGTAACCCACCAGAAAAATTGTACTCATCATTTTTTCTTTATTATGTTCCCCAAACGAAGTTTGGGAACATACTGTTTTTACTCTGTTTCTTATTATTATTATTATTATTATTTTTCTTCCTGGGTACTTTTTTGTCCGGGAGTGATCTCCGAAACTATACATCCGATTGAGTTGAAACCTTTTTAGGGTTAATAGGAATGTTATGTAGATTTGCGGAACGAAGGTCATTTTGCGCGCACGTGCATGCACGTGCGTGCGCGTGCAATGAGTAAAATGACCAATATACTTGATATAGCCATAACTTTCATATCTTTTGATGAAATACCTTGATACTCAGAATATAAGGATATATTAATAGTGTAGACAAGATGACATGGTCAGAATGCACATGCATGCACGTGCGCGCATGCGCATTGATTAAAATAACCAATACAATTGATATAGACTTAACTTGTACATTTTTTGATGAATTGCTTTGATACTCAGAATATAAATATATATTAGAAGTGTAGACAAGAAGACTTGATCAGCGCACACATGCATGCACGTGCGTGCGCGTGCAATGAGTAAAATGACCAATATACTTGATATAGCCATAGCTTTCGTATCTTTTGATGCTATGCTTTGATTATCAGGATATGTTAATAGTGTAGACAAGACGACATGGTCAAAATGCACATTCATGCACGTGTGCGCATGCGCAATGATTGAAATAACCTATACGAATGATATAGACTTAACTTGTATATTTTTAGATGAATTGCTTTGAAACTCAGAATATAAATATATATTAGAAGTGTAGACAAGATGACATGATCAGCGCGCACATGCATGCATTTGCATGCACGTGTGTGCGCGTGCAATGAGTAAAATCACCAATATACTTGATATAGCCATAACTTTTACATTTTTTGATGCTATGCTTTGATACTCAGAATATATAGACATATTATAAATGTAGACAAGACGACATTGTCAACATGCGTATGTATGCACGTGCGCGCGCATACAATTCTTAAATGACCAATATACGTGATATAGCTGTAACTTTTATACTTTTTGATGAAATGATTTGATACCCGAAATATGTAGATATATTAATAGTGTTGACAAGATGACACGGTCATCATGGACTTGCATGCACGTGCGCGCGCGTGCAATGCGTAAAATGACCGATATACTTAATATAGCCGAATTTTTTTTTATCTTTTAATGAAATTTGAATATAAAGATATATTAAAAGTGTAGACAAGTTGACATATATTTTGTACATGCATGCCCGTGCGCGCGTGTGTAATGCGTAAAAAAAATATACTTGATTGCCTTATTTAATGAAGCTTACAGGGAATAAGACACCAAAAGGAAGTTGGGGAGCGTTTGGGGAACATCTGTAACGGTCCCCGTTACAATTAATACTAGTTTTTATTCTTATTGGATGATTTATAATTCTTACACATTTGTTGCACTCCTGACCAAAAGCATTAAGGCCTTTAAAGTAAAATTGTGAGGTGAAAATTACATAAGAACTTGTTCTGTTGTTTCAGTGAAGTTGAGGAGGAATTACTTGAACTTTATGACAATTTTTTAGTGTGTTTGTTTTTAACATTCATAAAAAAAATCACAAAAAGATAAAAACATATCTGAATTAATAAAATTGAAAAAGGAAGGATTTTAATAATAAAACTGTCAATAATTTAATATTAAATTATACAAAAAAATCATTATTAATTTATGAATACTGCTAAGCATGAATAGAAATGTTTTCGTCACATAATTTGAATCTTAAAAAAATGTGTTGCACTCCTGACCATAGAAATATAGATCGGAAGCACAGACAGATCCTGTAATTGATAAATCTATTTGGTAAAAATGTTCTTTGTGTCTTTATTTTCCAAAATAAAAATGAGAAAGTCATGTAATGATAATAGATTTTTCATGCTTGGGAGCAAAACATCAAATATTGCACTCCTGACATTACTGGGTATGCACATATACTTGACTCTCATTAATGCTGCTTGTGATTTATATAACATTTTTAAGTTTTAAAATGTATATCAGTTATTGTTTTACACTTCCAAAATTCTTTTTTGTCTTAATTTTCTTTCAGAATTTTACAATTGATGTTTTTTTGGCAACACTACATTTTTTCTGTTGCACTCCTGACATGGTATAACATTTTTTTAAACATCAGCCATGACCACAACTTGATTAAACAAAAGTTACTACAGTCCACATTTAAAGCTCAATACTTTGAATATTATCAGGAAAGTCTTTATTTTCAACATAAAGCATTATTGTTTATTTCACAGATCTCCAAAAAATACTGAAATTTCAAAATGTCACAAAAAGGTGTTGCACTCCTGACAATTTTAGCATCATTTTTGGTCATAACTTTTTTGCTAATTGAGATATCAACGAGATATTTGGCAGGTATTTAGACAGTATCTAAAGACATATGCTGAGACATAGAAATCTATTTTCATTGCATGTATTTTTAGTGTGGGTTGATAAATATGCATTTGGTCATTTTTTTTTTTTAATTCACCCGTCTGTGGTGAACCATGGACTCTTACCTGCTCTGTAAAGATCTCATAAATAAATATCTGTCTTATTCTAGCCAGTGCATTAGCCTTCACCAGATTCTGAAATTGTCCAAATAAATATACAAAGTAAATGGAATCATATTTCATTCACTGGAATGCATTATGACTCAACAATGGCTAAAATTAAAAAGAACCAAAAGAAATTAAAGTCTGTGACTATTGTTTTATAAAATTTAATTACCTTTAAACCCAATGTGAGATACACAAGGTCAGAAATTGCTGTCATGTTGTTGCTATGGAAATGAATGGCGATCAGGAACAACATTTCACCAAAGGAACAAGCACTGGACACCTCACTAGAAGTTTACAGTAAAATACAACTTAAAAGAGTTATACATAATCTGCCAATTCATTTTTATTATATACCCAACTATTTGTCACTAAGTTTTACTGTTGAATTTATGCAATCACGTGACGGTGTGATCCGATGTTCAGAATCACCACACTGTGATTTTCTGAATCCATGTCACCCATCTCTGAAACTGATGACATAGTACACAGATAAATGACGTTTTTATTCTCGCGCATCAAAGTTCCTTGACAAAATGGCTTGTTTAATGTATAAAAGTTATGTAATTGATCCAGAAAGTTTGCTTTTGTTATATTTTGCTAGTTGTAAAGGGGTATATAATAAATTTATCATTATAACAGTAACTTGATCCGAAGAGCAGTATCACGTCTCTTTGACAGGTGCGGATCATCAGATCAAACTCCACGCTTCGCATCTCATTTGATCTGATGATTCGTGCCTGTCAACTTGACGTGATATGGCTCTTCGGATCAAGTTACTGTTATAATAATAAATATTTATCAGTAAATTAGCGTGCAACTAATTACATTCCCTTTTAGTCTCACTTGTTCAAAATATTGTAAGCCATTCTTTATTTGTAAGAATTTTGCTTAAACTTATCTTTGTGTGTCAATCAAATCAATATAAATATAAAGTTCTTACTGGGGAGTAACTTTTATTACATGTACATGTATTAAGAATCTGAAATACATGTACAAGTAAAAGGTCAGAAGTTCCTGATAGCAGTATGATATCTGTACTTACAGCTTGAATTCCTTCTCCATCACCAGGGACCACTTAATCCAGTCTATAGCCACCTTCTCTTGATCATTGTTCCTGTGACAAAGAATATCACAGATAAGTACTGACCCACAATTTTACAGTGTTTACTGCATGGTACATAAACATATATAGTATCATTTATCCAAAACAGCCTCTGAGAGAATTGAAACTTTGTGAATACCAGCCACAAAATTTAGTCCCTAGCATTTCTTTAAAAAATCTAATATAAATAAATTCTTGTACATTGGATGGTGTAAACAAATGAGTAGATGCTTTTCTTTAATCTAAATAATATTTTAAATAAAACAATCCTTTGAATTTTTACAATTTGCATCATTTTGTACATATATGTACTAATCATAGTAAAATGTACACCATCAATCAAACAGGGATAACTACTATATAATTATATAAAGAAAAAACTGCACTCTGGACTCTGTCTAATCCAGCCAAATTCTTGGGAACTATTGACTGACAGATAAAACCAGTTATAGTGTATATACACAAGATCCTATGGGACATCTGATCTTACCACACCTAAATTCATCGGACAACACTGAACCTCTATTTGGAAGTGATGAGATGTCTCAGGGGTTTTGATTGGTCATAATTTGTCACTTTTAGCAGCTTGTAAACCATGTAGCATTGGATAAACTAGAAATATGTCCATAGGACATGAATGCCCTGCCGAAGGTATATTAGTAATGCAACATTTTAACACAAATTGAGAAAAGTGAGGTCAAGGTCAAAGGAAAGGTCAAGGTGAAAAAATATTGATGCAGTTGAATAGCTTACATTAGTATGTATCAGCATATGAAGTTTGACACAAATTTAAGAAAAGTGAGGTCAAGGTCAAATGAAAGGTCAAGGTAAAAAAAAATTGTTTATGCAGTTCAAAGGTTACATTGGTATGTATTAGCATATGAAGTTTGATAAAAATATTATGAATGGTTTTAAAACTAAGCTAAACACTAATTAAAGAAAAGTGAGGTCAAGGTCAAAGGAAAGGTCAAAGTCAAAAAATATTGATGCAGTTGAATAGCTCTCATCAGTATGTATCAGCATATAAAGTTTGACACTAATTTAAGAAAAGTGAGGTCAAGGTCAAAGGAAAGGTCAAGGTAAAAAAATGTTGAATAGCTCTCATCAGTATGTATCAACATATGAAGTTTGATTACACTATCTTGAATGGTATCTTTAAAACTGAGCTAAACACTAATTTAAGAACAGTGAGGTCAAGGTCAAAAGAAAGGCCAAGGTCAAAAAATGTTGATGCAGTTGAATAGCTCTCATCAGTATGTATCAGCATATGAAGTTTGATAACACTATCTTGAATGGTATCTTTAAAACTGAGCTAAACACTAATTTAAGAAAAGTGAGGTCAAGGTCAAGGTCAAAAAATGTTGATGCAGTTGCATAGCTCTCATCAATATCTATCAGCATATGAAGTTTGATAAAAATATCTTGGATAGTTTCTTTGAAACTGAGCTTTGAACAGAGCTAAACGCAAAGTGTGACGGAAGGACAGACAGAAGGACGGAAGGACAGAAGGATGGAAGGACGGAAGACGGACATGACAAACACTATATGCCCCAGCCATATTCATGGCGGGGCATAAAAATAAAAAAACATAGGTAATCAGAGATTACAGAGCTCACCTCAACGAATGTTGTCTTTAAGTAAGGCAAAGTCCTACACTAAACTAATAATCTAGGAGTGTGCATCCCTAGATGCAACATTTATGCAATTTTGGTCTGATAGGGCTTGCAGTTACTTGGGAATAGACTTATCTGAAAACTTAAAACTAGTCACTCATCCAGAAAATGTAAGTCAAATCCAGCATCCGAAGCAAGTTTTGAGATTGTTCGTCCCTTCATGCATCCATGCAAGTTTGGTTCAGATAGGCCTTACAGTTACTTGGAAATGAGATCTGCTCCAAAAACTTTAACCTGGTTACTCATCCGGAAAATGTAGGTCAGATCCAGCATCCGAAGCAAGTCCAGTAGTGTGAATCCTTAGATGTATCATCCATGCAAGTTTGGTCAATATAGGGTTTATATTTACTTGGAAATGACATCTGCTCAAAATACTTTAACCTGGTCACTCATCCGGAAAATGTAAGTCAAATCCAGCATCTGAAGCAAGTCCAGTAGTGTGCATCCTTAGATGTATCATCCATGCAAGTTTAGTCAATATTGGGCTTATAGTTACTGGGAAATGAGATCTGCTCCAAAAACTTTAACATGGTTACTCATCCAGAAAATATAGCTCAGATCCAGCATCCGAAGAAAGTCCAGTAGTGTACATCCTTAGATGTATCATCCATGCAAGTTTGGTCAATATAGGGTTTATAGATACTTGGAAATGACATCTGCTCCAAAAACTTTAACCTAGTCACTCATCCGGAAAATGTAGGTCACATCCAGTATCCGAAGCAAGTCCTGTAGTGTACATCCTTAGATGTATCATCCATGTAAGTTTGGTCAATATAGGGTTTATAGTTACTTGGAAATGACATCTGCTCCAAAAACTTTAACCTGGTCACTCATCCATAAAATATAGGTCAGATTCAGCATCCGAAGCAAGTCCAGTAGTGTGCATCCTTAGATGTATCATCCATGCAAGTTTGGTCAGTATAGGGCTTATAGTTACTTGGAAATGAGATATGCTCCAAAAACCTTAACCTGGTCACTCATCTGGAAAATATAGGTCAGATCCAGCATCTGAAGCAAGTCCAGTAGTGTGCATCCTTAGATGTATCATCCATGCAAGTTTGGTCAATATAGGGCTTACAGTTACTTGGAAATGAGATCTACTCCAAAAACTTTAACCTAGTCACTCATCCATAAAATATAGGTCAGATTCAGCATCCGAAGCAAGTCCAGTAGTGTGCATCCTTAGATGTATCATCCATGCAAGTTTGGTCAGTATAGGGCTTATAGTTACTTGGAAATGAGATATGCTCCAAAAACCTTAACCTGGTCACTCATCTGGAAAATATAGGTCAGATCCAGCATCCGAAGCAAGTTCAGTAGTGTGCATCCTTAGATGCAAGTTTGGTCAATATAGGGCTTATAGTTAGGTACTTGGAAATGAGACCTGCTCCAAAAACTTTAACCTGCTCCAAAAACTTTAACCTGCTCCAAAAACATCAACCTGGTCATTCTTTAGCTGAAATTGCAGCATCTGAAACCTTGACTGGTACAATAAAACACACTAGATGCATCCTCCATGCATCTCTGACTGATATAGGCCATAGAAGTACTTGAAATGAAAACTGCTCCAAAAACCTTAACCTGGGACGCCGACGCCGAGGGTATTACATAAGCTCCCCCAACTTCGTTGAGGTGAGCTAAAAACCATAAAATAAATTCTTACCCTAACAGATATGGACAAGCTATCAACATGCACAATCCAAGGGAGACAAATCTAGCACCAGCTTTGCTTAAGGGAGGTCTAGATGTGATTAACCTCAGCAGAATCTTCATTTCTTCATCTGTAAATCTACAAATTGCAGAGTTGATCACAGATGTACACTTAAGTGGTTTATGCATTCTTTAGGTTCTAACTTAGATTTTTCATCCAATGTACTTTTATTAAATGTTTTCTTGTTTTATACGTAATGTTAATACATTCTTTTATTCATCACTTATGAAACAAAAGTATTATAATCCATAGACAAAGTTACTTACTTAAATGCAGCCATGCTCTTGAGTGCACAGTAGAGTCGTATGAATGCACTAGCCTTGATGGCCTGGGACTCAGATATCGTGGCTCCACCATCAGGCAATATTGAAATCATTTGTTCCAGTAGGCACAGTCTCAAACTGTGTAACTGTGTCAATGTGGAATCTCTTTTCAACTGAAATCATTAAAATTTGTAAGAGCTCACACTTATGTACATGTATATGATGATCTTACGTGTTTCTTTCCTGCATAAAAAAAAATTAAGAACATATTATGACATTTGTCAATGATAATCATCAAAGTTTTTAATAATGCATTTTGTTGTCCAGAAAAATATTTAGATGTTTTATTACTTGCTTATAAGTCAGACAGAGGTTTGGACCAAAGTTTAACTCCCAAAAATCTGACTTATAGGCAAATAACCTGTATATTTGGACTTTTTGAAATTATGTTCATTATAAAACATAAAAAGTAAAATGAAGAAAAGATGTATGTCCATAGAGAATTTTTTTTTAAAAGACATCACTGGAAAATGCTGGGCACATTGGAATCACAAGATTGAAAGTCCAACAGTAAAACCAATGTGCCATGAAATCATAAGTATTCACAGGATAAATTTCCATGAAATCATAAGTATTCACAGGATAAATTTCCATGAAATCATAAGTATTCACAGAATAAATTTGTACGAAATCATAAGTATTCACAGGATAAATTGAAGTCAGGTTCCTAAATCTCAATGTAATACATGTATTACATAAGGAAAATTGAAAATATAATGTATTTTCATCATTTTCATTATGAAGACCACCTTTAAACAAAATTATTTAAATGTAATGAAGTGCATTCAAACCCAAATAAAATAATTCAACTATTGTTTTACTAGATAAGAGTGGTCTTTAGCAACAGTTTGTCATTGCTTATGTAGATACCTCATAATTTACTATATATGCCATACAAACTCAGTGATTTTCATATATCATACAAGGGAACAATTTACATTTAAATAGCATTATTGAGTAACTTGAGTTTACACATTTATAAACTTAAATCAATAAAATACTGGTAAAAAATTGTATTTAAGAAATCACTACTAGAGTAGGCAAAATTGCCTATCATATGCACCTTGGCTCTTTGTTTTACAGCTTATACATGTTATGGCAGAATTGTATTCATTCTGAAAATGGACCATTTCATTCAAAGACAGAAATATTCCATCAATATTGTGACATTTATAATCACCTTTTGGCCTATTTTGACATACTGTGAGAACCACTCCTTTACGCTTGTATTGTTGCCTAGCAACATTCCACTGACAAATCCTACAACATCTGTGTTGGAGTCTCCTGATATTTCTGACTGGGGGTATTCTTTATTCATTTCTAAGGTCAAGGCCACAGCTAATCCTGGCATCTTGCAATTCTCTACCTGAAATAAGTGAATCAAGTACTAAAACTTAATTCAATTTTAAACCATCACAATGATAAGTGTACTGGAACATTTTAATTTGATTCGAACTGTCAAACAAGTGTACAACTTTACTGCTATCCACGAACAACTGGGATTGGATATGTGTCCTATTACCTAAAACATCCTCTCCTTAAGCATTCTAATTATCTTATGGCCACTCATTGATAAGAACTTACACAGAGGGCCCTGATATTATACATTTCTTTTGGATTCATCCTGGCCAGAGCGAGGAGCACTGTCATTCTCCGCTGCCCCCCGACTGTCTCCTCATCTTGTCTGTCACCATTAGTCACCAGACTAGTACACACTGCAATATCAGATGATTTCAAGTACACTCAAACTACCAGGTAAGTGAATGGAATAAAAGACAAGAGGCCCAAGGGCCTTAACGGTCACCTGAGTACAATACAATAATTTAGAGGATCCATAAACTGAAAAATGAAGCTTTGTTGCCCAAAAGCAAAAAAAATAGTATGATTAATTGGTCTAGTATCTATCTGCCCCCCCCCCCCCATTTATCACTATTCCCATGCAGAATATTTACAAAATGTCTATCATTTAACCCTATATTATTACTTCTCACAATGGCCTCTCTTGGCCTTTGAAGAACATTTAAAAAAGATAAGTTATTTTTGTCTCATTTTTATTTTTCTATTATTTCCAAGTCATTAAAACTATGAAAGTACTTTTTTATTATACAATAAATTATCTTGCATAATTCTCTTATTCTATTAAGCTTTCAAATACATTATTTACATTGATTAATTATCAAAGGTGAATGGCAAAGGGGAATAACTTTGCTCAGCAGAATACAACTTAATAGAGCCCTGGCCAGGACTAGAACACTTTGACTTAATGGTCCAGGTTTCAAAATTCTGGTAAAAATACCCTTGCATATTAAAACTTTTACTCTGTTTGCCTTGACCATCCCCAGAAGCATAGAAGATTTTCAAAGAAATGCATTTTCACCATATTATTAAATAAATAAAGCCCCATCCTTACCCCAGAACATCTGACCCATTGGCCATGAACTCACAATTCTGGAAGAAGCACCCTTTCTCATTATAACTATACACTTGTTTCTTTACTCTTTAACCAGTAGTAGAAAAAATATTTTGAAAGAAATTATGCATTTTCACTATATATAATCAATAGAGCTCTTCCCTCCTCACCAGAACCCCTGACCCAAGGGCCATGAGGCATTCTTCCTTATCATAACCATGCACTTCCTTTGTTTGAAAAATACCCAGGCGCACAGAAGAAGATTTTGAAAGAATTCATGCCTTTTCCCTATATAATCAATAGAGCCCCGCCCTAACACCAGAACCCCTGACCCAGGAGCCATGAAATTCATAATTTCTGAGGCAGCCATGCTCATCATAACAATGTACTTAGTTTATTTAATATCCAGGAGCAGAGAAGAAGATTTTCAAAGAATAAATGCAATTCTACTATATAATCAATAGAGCCCTGCCCTAACACCAGGACCCCTGACCCAGGGCAGGGATGGCCATGATTACTGAAAAATGTAATCGATAAATAATCGATTACTTAGAGGAATTTTGTGTAATCGATTATTAAACAATTACACTCATTTTTGTCTTGTAATCGATTGTAATCGATTACTTTGGAAGATGTAATCGATTAATAATCGATTACTTCCTAGTTTTTATCCCTTCAAATATCAAAGCAATATTTAAATGGTAAATGTTGATGTTATCCACTGAAGTTTGAATGTGTTCCTGCAGTTTCAGTGCAGATTCTTTTAAGGTTTTATTCTGGCTTTGCTGCTAACATTCTCACTAAATGCCCAAATGAGGGATTCTCTACCATGGAAAGTGGAGACATGTTTCCTACAATAAAATATGCCAAGGAATTAATTATTCCTTTCAACCTTGGATCTGAACCTCTTTATTTATTGACTTGTTGCAAAAATTATTTAATACTAGTCTTTATTGTGAATTACTTCATTAGAAGTATTTGGGCTGCCCGTATGTTGATAGTACACATTAAACATTCCTGTATGTGTCTTTAAAAAAAAAAAAAAGTAAATTAGAACTCTTAGTAATAAACATGTAAATTAAATGTGTCTTGAAGTAATTCAACTAATAGCACAATTTCATTCTGTATTGAAATAAGTGTTTTGAGAGCTATTAATTGTTTTAATTATACTGTTTGTCTTCAATGGAATGAAAGTTAAACACTAGGTAGTTCACAGTTTACACCTCATTATCTGCAAATCAGGGATGTCTCGGTCAATTAATTAGCCATTTAAGATAAGCAAACACAGTGACACACTCCCTCTATTACAGACACTTATAACCTCTCATTGATATAAAAGCAACCTTACAATTTTGAATGAAAACATGAGAATGACACATTACACTAGGTGGTTTATATTTGATATTTATGTGTGACTGACTGGAAATAATTCTCCAAAATAACATTCATTTATGTATAAAGTAATTGAAAGTAATCGAAAAAGTAATTATAATTACATTGAAAATTTTAGCTGTAATCGATTAAATTACGATTACAAGTAATCGAAAATCTCTTCGATTACAGATTACAGTCGATTACTTGAAAAAAAGTAATCATTACAATCGATTACGATTACTGGATTACAATTATCCCATCCCTGACCCAGGGGCCATGAAATTCACAATTTTGGAAGAGGCACTCTTGCTCATCATAACTATGTACTAAGTTACTTTATTTAATGCCCAGGAGCAGAGAAGATTTTCAAAGAATTAATGCATTTTAACAGTATAATCAATAGAGCCCTGCCATAACAGCAGAACCCCTGACCCTGGGACCATGAAATTCACAATTTTGGAAGAGGCACTCTTGCTCATCATAACTATGTACTAAGTTACTTTATTTAATACCCAGGAGCAGAGAAGAAGATTTTCAAAGAATTAATGCATTTTCACTATATAATCAATAGAGCCTCGCCCCAACACCAGAACCCCTGACCATGAAATCCACAATTTTGGAAGAGGCACTCTTGCTCATCATAACTATGTACTTAGTTAGTTTATTTAATACCCAGGAGCAGAGAAGAAGATTTTCAAAGAATTAATGCATTTTCTCTATATAATCAATAGAGCCCCGCCCTATCACCAGAACCCCTGACCCTGGGGCCATGAATTTCACAATTTTGAAAGAGGCACTCTTGTTCTTCATAACTATGTACTTAGTTAGTTTATTTAATACCCAGGAGCAGAGAATAAGATTTTCAAACAAATAATGCACTTTCACTATATGATCTATATAGCCCCGCCCTAGCACCAGAACCCCTGACCCTGGGGCCATGAATTTCAAAATTTTGGTAGAGGACTCAATGCTTATTACAATGTTGACTGCTTGATGTCCAGGAGTAAAGAAGAAGATTTTTATAGATTGCATTTTTTTGGTGGTTTTAGCCCCACCCCTCAGGCCCCGGAGGGGGGGGGGGGGGCAGGGACCATGAAATTCACAATTTTTGTTCCCCTTCACCCATAGATGCTATATGCCAAATTTGGTTGAAATTGGTTAAGTGGTTTTAGAGAAGAAGCTAAAATTGTTCAAATGTTAACACACGACGCACACCGCACGCCGACGGACGAGAGCGGATAGCAATAGATCACCTGAGTCACTCAGGTGACCTAAAAATGAAAAATCATTGTAATAAATTGAATTTGATGGCAAATCTAAAAATACATGTTTTCACCAAAAAAACAAAACAAAACAAAAACATCTAGAAATATGTCCATAGGACGTGAATGCCCCGTCAAGGATATATTAGAGATGCAACATGAAAATTTGTATTAGTGTATGAAGTTTGATGAGAATATCTTGAATAGTTTCTTTAAAATTGAAATCTAAAAAATTGGAAATAGATAACAAATTCTCACCAAATTATGTATAAGTGCATAAGCTAACATAAAAATATCTTAGACGGTTTCTTTAAAACTAAGCAAAATGCAAATTTAAGAAAAGTGAGGTCAAGGTCAACAGTTTTGATCCAGATATATAGCTCTCACTGATACATACATGTATCAGCATATTAAGTTTGATAAAAATATCTTGAATGGTTTATTTAAAACTGAGCTAAACACTAATTTAAGAAAAGTGAGGTCAAGGTCAACAGTTTTTGATCCAGTTATATAGCTCTCACTAATACATATTATTTAGCATATTAAGTTTGATAAAAATATCTTGAATGGTTTATTTCTTGAATGGTTTATCTAAAACTGAGTTAAACACTAATTTAAGAAAAGTGAGGTCAAGGTCAAAGGAAAGGTCAAGGTAAAAAAAATGTTGATGCAGTTGAATAGTTTACTTCAGTATGTATCAGCATATGAAGTTTGTTAACACTATCTTTAATGGTTTCTTTAAAACTGAGCTAAATACTAATTTTAAAAAAGTGATGTCAAGGTCAAAGGTAAAAAAATGTTGATGCAGTTGAATAGCTCCCATCAGTTATCAGCATATGAAGTTTGATAAAAATATCTTGAATAGTTTCTTTGAAACTGAGCTATGAACTGAGCTAAACGCAAAGCATGATGGAAAGACAGAAGGATGGAAGATGAACATGACTATCTCTATATGCCCCGGCCTTATTCATGGCGGGGCATAAAAAAAATTCTCTCAAAATATTTGTCTAAATTTTAGTTCAACTCTGTTGGTTACAATGCTTTCTGAAATTGTTTTAATGTCAGAATTTACCTTCTTTGTAGCAGTCAGGAGAATTTGCCACCAGTCGACACAGCATCCAGTCACCATTAGGAATATGGAGAAGGGTTTCTGATACCTCATTGATTGGCAACAGGGCAGGTAACTCAGCCTGGGCTATACAGAGTACATCAGACACTTCCTCCAGATACACAAGGCTCTCAAACAATTCACTACTCTTCTGGTAGAACTCAGTTTTTGACTCTCTGATCTGCAAATTTATATAAGCATCATAAAGCATCTGGTATGATTTTACAGACACATGAACTTTACAGTATAACTATATTGTCAAATTATAATTTTAAAGATTGGATTGTTGATTGTGCAGGGATTGAAACATATGGTAGCCCGAAGCCCGGGGCTAGTCATTTTAAGACTCAGGCTAGCTAATTTAAATGTAATCATAGTCCATCCGACTAGCAGAATGGGAAAAAAATTTCAACAGTTTACTCTCACTTTTCTGTGTAGAGTGGTTTCATTAGACTGAGAATTACATTGTAGTTTAATTTGTTTCTGTCACCACAGCCTTTAAAACTTTTACTTGTTATGTTTTCATTTTGCATGAAAAAGTTGTTGGGCTAGTTAGTTTGAGGTTTCGGATAGTAATTTTTTACCGATCAGTAGTCCCTGGGCTAGTGGGTTTTCCAGGAAAATTTCAACCCCTGTTGTGTATAAAAAGGTATATAGCGGTAGGTCAAGGACTCTTTTAAGCAATCATATACTGCAACAGTAAAATCTCAGTATCTCAAACTCAGCAGGTAAAAACACTTCAAGGTCTCTAAATGTTTGAGATAACAAAATTAAAACCCAAACTCAAACCAGAGCTGGGACAGTCAACTACATTGACATATCCCTGCAGCTGGTTTCTAACAAATCCATATAGAAGATAAACAGATCAGTTGCATATGTGTTGTTAGTGATATCATTTTAGTATAACTTGTAAATTCATTTTTTGTACCAATCATAAGTAAGAGCACTCAGCAGTTAAGTCTACTTATGATTCATAACCACTAGCAGCATCCAGTCACCATAATATAGTTGTACTACCTGAGATGCTACAAACAATAGTTCACTCAGTAACAATCTTAGTCTTCGAGGTGGATCACTCCTTTCAAATTCCAGAGCCACTCCATTCTGTAGCTGGGATATCAGGATACTTTCTGTTTGATTTCCTCCAAGTTTTGTTCTGCAAATATAATGATATAATGAAAACAACAACATATATTTACATTTGCTGTGTTTTTCTAATTAACCAACTATGAAATTGATTGTTTTCAATAGGAGTAAAACGATTCACCGCGGTATTTTTTCTCGGTTTGATACACGGTACAAAATCTCCATTTTCAGTTTGGTTCATTTTTTGGTCGGGATCGTTATTCAGTCAGGTTTGGTATAAACATGCTACTCGGCATTATTTAATTTTTAAAAGGTAAATTTTTTAGGACTGGTAGTTTATAAAATAATCTTTAACAGTCAAATCATTATAATTAATTTCTCCTAGTCAATTTGCACATAGATTTAGTGACAGGATTTAGAGAAACAAAACATAAAACAACGTTGAATTTGTTTCCTTCTATCAAAATGTATCGTCTCAAAAAAAAATCGTACCGAGACAAAATTATACGATATGTATCGTATCCTGAAGGAGGTTTATCATTTCATTGTTTTCAACTCTCTACCTGTCTACAGTAAATAAATATAGACAAGATATGGCATGATATGCTCCTACCAAAAAAAGAAGTACATTTATTTGTTGATGTTTAACCTGTAATTTCAGCAGGGACCTATATACCAAAAGCGAGCGCAGCAAGCTCTATAGAAAACGTGTACGAACAGAGGAAATTCAGGTGTCGGAAAAATCCGACAGTGATTAGTGATTAAGTGATTAGGGTTAGGGTATTTTGTCTTAAGATTGGAACTGTTTTATAAATCCACTCTTAAATCTTCCTGACTTAGGGCTAATTCATGTAATTTTTGCTTACAAAAGGCACTGCCAAGTGCCTTTTGTGACCAAAAACTTGCATGAATCAGCCTTATGTTGAACTGCACTGTGCCGATTTACCATCTTATAGGAGTAAAGCATGAAACATGCAAAACTTAAACAAACCGTTAATTAAATATGGCATTGTATGCGATCTACGGATTAGGGTTAGAGTATATATAGCTCAGATATTGTAACTGTTTTATATTCACCCATGTTCGCATCTTATATCCGACTTTGGGCTTATTCATGCAATTTTTGCTTACAAAGAACCGGAAGAACAGGAAAGTTTTGCGAAACTTGGATGAATTAGCCTTGGTCTAATGTTGAAACATATGCGATATTGTGCGCTAAGTTTTGGCAAGTAATTGGTAAAAGCGACTTACCGTTTACTTAATCTCGATATCCTAACCTCCTAATGTCCATATTCAGAATATTTTTTCTTTCAAATCAATGGTGATGCACAATTCAATCAACCAATTACTAGTAATTAGTTATCACTTGTTAAATCCCTGCATTTCTCACAAAAATCTCGCAATTTTAGTAGCATTTCACTTTGAGTCCTATCAGCTACTTCTTCATAAGTCTTCATTACGTCAAAACACAAGTGACGCACGTCATGAATATTTATGAGATTACGTCAAAAACTGATCACGTGACTACATTTCTAAACAACGCGAAATGGAGTTTTATCTACTAAACAAGTACGTTATTTTACGAGACCTTTTAATTCTCATTTAAAAAACTGTTTAAAAACCAGTTTTTTAAACCCAATTTTTCACAAGGAACACGATTTTTGGCTGCGATTTGTGGCCTTTTTTATCGATTTTGTGGATCGCTCACGCGATCATATTATATTGTACACCACCTTCGGCGGCACCTATTTTAGCGCCATATTTATAGGGACCGGTATACTAGAAGTGTTCCAAACAAAACTGTGCTCCCCCTAATGGTTTCACCGTCGGACATATTAGTATATAGGTCCCTGATGTCAGGGACTGTAGATGTGAAGTTTCTTCTTTAATAGCGAGCGCAGCGGCGCAAAGCGCCGCTCGTCACTGCGAGCTCTAACGACAACGCCTGGGCGAAGAGAAAATTCGGATTACTGCATATTCATTCAATAGAATTTTTTTCTGCAGTACTTCTGGACCCACAATGCATCGCTTGTTTAAGCTACGTTCTCGCAAGAATAACAACAACAGTTTAACTAACAAAAAATAAACTCGCCTTGATTTAATGGATATATTACAGATAAATAGTAAATAAAACGTTTTTCGTTAAAGTCAACAATGTTCAGGCTTCGGTTTGGTTAGTAATGCAACTTAACGAGGTTCGCTCCTGAGCTTTTGAGCAGATTTATATCTTATCCTATATTTCAAAAATTCTGCATAAAGTATTAATTCTTTCAATAAATTTGGATTCTACAATGCCAATTAAACTATATTCAGTTAAAATTCCATGATTAAATTCCATACCAAAAGCATTAAGTGAGGAACTATATTTTGTGGCGGAAGGTTTTTTACAAGAAAATGTTCATTTTTTCTCTTTCAAAGTATTTAAAGTATGTTAATTTTGGATTCCTATTTTTCCATGCAGCCAGCACACAGAGTTATTTTGTACAGTGAACTGTTTTATACTGATCCTAAATTACATATCAAATAAACTGTCATGAATTCTATCATCATATTTCATAAATATAGCAAATATATTGTGAAAATCAAGAAAAAATATCCCTATTTTAAGCTTAAAATTAGCACTATTTTAGTAATATCTAAAAATTAAGATCACAGACCCCCACTTTTTATTTTATTTTCTGAATATATAAGATACTTTCAACCATTCTTCTTAAATGTAGTAAAATGTCATTACTTTCAAATTATTTTTTTGCTTGTTAAATTTTTAATGCCAGAAAAATTAATTTTTTTGTGTGCAAAAAGGTCAAATAATTGAACGTGTGGAGTAATTTGAAAATTTTTTCGTTGTCACAAATTTTAATGTGTCTATTCAAGATGAAATAAGGCTGTGTTTGTTCCCATAATTTACTTGAATAAAAATATTGGAGGAAAAACTTTAAAAATTGATTTATGTGTAAGACGTATTTACAGTGCAAAAAGGTCAAACTAAATGCTCTGTAGCGCCGAAAGAAGCGCATTGACCCCCATTTTTTGTTTTGATTTTTAATTAAGCTATGTGTGTAAATTCTAAACTTATACTTGATAAAAAAATTCTCATTACTTTTGATGGCAGGATCCAACCTCCTTAAATACGACGTCATGTGACGTCAGCGTTTAGACGCACCAAATGTCACGTGCAGTTTGACGAACGAGCCCGATCTAAATTAAACCTGAATAAATATCTGCGCTCGCCCTAACGGTCGCACCGTCAACATATTAAATAGTAAGCAATGAAAATATTATCATCATCCCACCTCAGTTGCTGTTCTTTGTTCACATCTTGTTCCAACGCATGAAAATCTATTGAGAGTAAGGCAACAATGCTGTTGACAACCTCGATGCCAGAGAGAATTTTTAGAACATCTTTTTTGGCTGCTGACCACGATTCACTTTCATCCAATGGTTTGCAAAGAGCCATGCGAACTAAACATGGGAGAACTGGGCGCAAGTCCTTCTCCCGCAGTTTATTCAAAGTAGAAACATCGACATTTTGCATGGCCTGAAAAACCTTACTCCCAACAAACTCCCTCATCCTTTGTAATTGTATTTTTTCGATTACTCGTCTGATTTATTTCAAGTTTTGGCTGATGGGCGCCGCCATTTTTATCATAGTGTGAGAAAGTACAAATATCTTATACACGGATATTAACGGATTATATCGCAAGTTGACACGGCAGACCCAGTGAAGTAAAAAAATCCTCGTGGATGGCCGGACCCACAACTTAATTTCGTTCGGAATTTCCATGCAAATGCATGTAGAGAAAAAAAATCTTAAAAACAACAGGGTCAAAGTGATTCAGGTAAGTGTATAGCCCATTTATTAATTAAAAATATCCGAATAGTAAATTGTACACTCTTCCGGAACAAAAATGGCAAGCATCCGGCAAAGCTCAGTGCCGAGTCCACAAGGTTTTCTCTTTTTAAATGCATAGATTGTTTTTACTTCTAAGATTAATTTACTACTTTTTTTTGTAAGATACTTTTTTCTTGCATATACTATCACCGTTCTGAAAGTCATTGAGAGGTGGCTCTGTAAATAAGTTATACTTTGTAAAGTTCTTTCATTTATCATGTTTATTTTCATGTGTTTTGAATTATTTTCAGAGACAGAGGAGCAGCAGAAACTTCGATTTCAGACAGAGTTAGAATTTGTGCAATGTTTGGCAAATCCAAATTATCTCAATTGTAAGTGGTTTTAAAACCTTTTTTCTGGCTTTAATCTGCATTACTCCACACTTAAAACAATCCTAAAATGAACCCCAACTATTTAATTGACATTGCATTTAATCAATTTACTGGAAGCAGTTGCTTTTATACAGTTGAACTTCGGTATCTCGAACACTGATATCTCAAATACCATGGATATGTCGAAGTGATTTGGAAGACCTAGCCACTTATTGTTTAAGTATTTTACCTTTGATATCTCAAATCATCGGATATCTCAAAGGCTTTTAATGAGTTTGAGTTCGAGATAATGAGGTTTGACTGTATAAGTGTATTTCAAAACAACATTTCTCAACCCCAGAGGTTATCCTGCAACATTCACGAAAACATGAACTTTTTTTCTCAAATAAATCATGAACATCATCAAAGGTTTATCAGATTGGAAAACTTTACAGGTGAAATGAATATATAACAGTGTAATACTTATTTAGACCATATTGATATGTCATCTTCTACAGACTAAATGTTGTATGTTTTGCATAAAAAAGCTGATGAATTGTCTATATTTATAGCTCAAGGGACCCTTCCACAGACCTCCTAGCTGACAACATTTAAACTCCATGATTTTACTTCATTAAAGCTATAAAATGGACAGCTGAATTTGCTATTTGAATTAAATAATGAATATATGTTACAAACAAATTTATAAATGATTAAAGGATATTTTTAATCCAAAGAAAGCATTCCATTGCAATCGATGCACAGCTAAATAAACAAGTTGACCCTATGGTGTTAAGGTGACTCTTATGACGTCATGTAGGAAACCCAAATTGCTATATATGTTTTATGTAAGTTGGTAAAATAATGTTTTAAGTTGAAAAATTTCTCTCAGGAATTAACTGGGGTATGGCCCTTCCTTAAGGACAGACGATGCAAACAATTTTTTTCTTTGGAGGAGACTTAATATCATGTTACGGTTTTAGAAAAGTGGATAATTCTTTGATGTTTTTCTCCTTAGACTTGGAGAATGAAATACCTTCCATATTTCCCCAAAAAAGTACACAACTAGAGTAATGGTAAAATTGTTTAATCCTCATTCATTTACCATCTTTTTTCTTCAAAAATGTTTCTAAAGGAGCACAGAGGGAACTGATATTACATTTACTCAATATCCTGTTGTATTTTCTTACATAGAAGAAATGACACTTGGAAAAAAAATAGTTGATACTTCAATAAAATTACAAATAAGGACAAATCACACTCGGTAAAGGTTTACAGATGAAAATAAATTTCAGAATATGTTAACTTGGTGCTGAAAGTGAAATAAACTTTTAAAAAATATACCAAGCCAGATGAATTTTATGAGGAAAAGCAAAAGAGTAAAAATCAGCCTGTGTGATTTTTACCATTTTGCTTTTCCTCATAAAATTCACTAAGTTAAGCTAAGAGTTCTATATATCTTAAAAAATACAAAGCATATAAATGAAATTGATTACTTTATCACAAAAAGCATGATAAAGTCTTGAGAGATTAGTATTTTGTTGATTATAAGCATAAAACAAGTGCAAGATATTTTTTACAAATTTTATTTTTTAGATTTTGTTTGAAGTGTATATCAAGAAAACATAAATAGGGTCATTTACATACAATAAAATTATAAATTGAAATTAAAAAAATTAAAAATTATTAGGGTACTCTATATTTCTCTAGGGTTTTCTGTTTAGTTGGACCCTTTAATTTTACATAATCTCAAGGGTCTCACCTGCCTGCTAATAAGGGTTTCAATATGTTGAGAAATTCTCCCTAAATAAAAAGTGTGCCCAACCTGTTCAGCTGGAAAACTCTGTTCCTAAAAGTAAAACAAGAATTTAAATGATTTCTGTAGTAAAAGTACAATATGTACCAGCTTGATTGTCTTCTGAAAATGTAAGAAAACTTCTTGTAGTAAGGAATTTTATTTATTTTTTCTCTTTTTCAGTTTTGGCTCAAAGAGGATACTTCAAGGATCCTACCTTTATAAACTACCTAAAGTATCTGCAGTATTGGAAAGATCCAAAATATGCTAAATATCTAAAGTGAGGCTTGATTTATTGATTATTTATAATTTCTATTTGATTATCATTTCCTGCTTTACAGCTATAAATATTCAAAAAGATAAAGATATGTTTATCCTTCAACAAGGAACGGAGACTCCAAGAAATTATATTTTGTTAACTTCATGTTTTTATGTTTAAGTTTTCTTTTAAATTTAGGCTCTCAATTCTATATTCTATTTGAAGATACATGTATTTAAATAATTGTGCCTGAAAATGAAGAAATAGGCATGCTGATGTTTAAAAAATACATTAAATCCATCTTGAATATTAAGTAAACCATGATAATGACCAGCTTTTCCAATCTTATTAAGGTACCCTCAGTGTTTGTTTTTCCTGGAGTTGTTGCAGTATGAACATTTCCGTAAGGAACTGGTGAACTCTCAGTGTGCTAAGTTTATAGATGATCAACAATTACTTCACTGGCAGCATTATCAGAGAAAGAGAATGGCCCTGTTACATGAAGAAATGACAGCACAACGGGCACATCAGCAGCCCAAAGAGAAACCAGGATAGCTAAACCATATCAACATATTATAACTCCTAGAGATCTCTGCTTACTACTAAATGTTGAATGTAGTAATCAATGAATGTATTTTTGCTACATGTACAGATAATGCTCACACTTTACTGACTAAGTGTGTGAAGAGCAAACCTGTTAAAATGCTGGAATCTATCAATACTGGCTTACAGATTTTGAAGAATTTTCAACAGAGACATTTTTTTTATTCATACATGCATGCTACATGTATATGGATAATATGAAATTAGTTTCTCTTTCACGAAGATTTTAATGTTTCATTATTTGGATATGGTGTTTATAGAAATAAAAAAGTCTGTTCATCATAAACAAGTATATAATATTTATTAGGAGAATGTAATCAAGGACATTTGCAAGATGATAGATGTTGATGGTTCTCTGACACAGGACCATTGTTTTTTTTACAAAAGACACAGAATATAGAAATATTTTTGAAATTCTAGTTACATTGGTAACATACAGACTTTTCATAATTGATATACTGTACGTGTACATAAGTTGGCGTATTCAAAATTAGGCGTAATCACTGGGTATTGAGATGTTGGCGTATTCATGAATTAGCACTACATGCACGCTAATGCGCCATATATTGTATTTCTAAATAATTTCTTAGCGGTATTCATGAATTAGCACATCGTTGACTGCGCCAAAGCTGCTAAAATATGAAGCCTGCTTTTTTAAGTACACATACAGTATGTTGGAGAAACCCAGCAATCATATGTAATTATTTTTTAGATGGGGTGTAAAGATTTATAATGCTGTTTTAAGATTGTTGTATGATTTATTTCTGGTTAAGAAGAGAACAATGCCTCTGAGTTTTCTATTATGTCATAAATTTTTTATTTTAATAATTTAATTACATGTGCATACAATTAAAATTGTTTTGTTTTTTTTGTTCAATAATCCCCGGCCTTGCTCAAATATATATAAAATACAGTGTACTTTCTTTTGTTTCCTTTTTTACGAGGATTCAGCAGTATTTCATATTTTGGCTGCTGAAGGGAGAAGAATATCAATGGTAGGAGAATTTTGTATATATTTAGGTTCTGTTACAATGCACATTGAGAAATTATGCACTTTGAAAATTTTTTTCAAAGTGCGTTAAATTTGGAACCAAGTTAACACACTTTGAAAAACAAATGTGAATGGCTTAGTCAATATTCTTGCAAATTTTAGGTATGATAAATAATTATTTGAATCTGATTTGGTAACATTTCAGCGATGACCTCACTTCAGGATCAGACATATAGACGTTTTAAAGATTTTTAGGGGCTGTTTTGTTCCCAAAGGTTCTCGTAAATGTTATAAAAGGGGAAATGGGTCTTTGAGAAATAATGGAGGAATGATTGTTTAATAGCACAATTTTGTTTCTTTTTTTTTTTTTTTTTTTTTTTAAATTTTATTCAGTCTGTAATAAGTTCTGTAGATGTACATGTAGGGGTCCGTAAGTGACTTAAAGCATAACATTTTTCTTGGGGATAAGGGAGCAATTATATATGATTTTTCCATACCATGAAAATCTCTCTCTCTCGCTAATCTATTATATTCATTTATCTGTGGGAACATATATGAAGGAATAGTTGACTCATTTATTTGATAGTAAGAAAAAAAACCCTTAGCCACATTTCTTACTCGACTGAAATTTTTACCCATTTTTTCACAATTTTTTCTCAAAGAATCTTTTAAATGAAGTTATTCAGTCAGATTACTTCTAAATCTGATATCATATAAAGGCTAGACATGTCAAATAGCATGTTTTAATTACCCTGTAAATGCCATTTCTTTTTTGGAGGTATCAATGTAGATACATTTTGAATAAAGGTGATGCAGCTCCGCGGAATATTAAACAGATAAACAACGGGCCATATATAATACATATATTTGGGTAAGAAAGATAAAGTGTTGACCTTCTACATGTCTTTTCCTTGCTCTCGAGGAGGGTAGATCAAGTTATTAGTTTTTCGAAAGAAATGTAACAAAGTAATCCTGTCTGTTACTAAGATCTAAGTCTAGAATTTTGTTTTATATTTATTTTTTTCAAAGTGCGTTGAGTGTCTCTATGGTAAAAAATGTTGATGTACACTTTAAACGCACTTTGAAATTCTTTTTTTCAAAGTGCGTTGATTTTTTCCCAATTTTAACGCACTTTGAATTTTTTTTCAAAGTGCATAATTTTTAGCTCACTGAGCTGAAAGCTCAAGTGAGCTTTTCTGATCACCCGTTGTCCGTCTGTCTGTCGGTCCGTCCGTCTGTAAACTTTTCACATTTTCAACTTCTTCTCAAGAACCACTGGGCCAATTTTAACCAAACTTGGTACAATGTATCCTTGGGTTAAGGGGAGTTTAAATTGTTTAAATAAAGGCCAAGTCCCCTTACAAGGGGAGATAATCAAGAAAAGACAAAAATAGGGTGGGGTCATTAAAAAATCTTCTCAAGAACCACTGAGCCAAAAAAGCTGAAACTTATGTGGAAGCATCCTGGGATAGTGTAGATGCTAAATGACCCCCGGGGGTAGGGTGGGGCCACAATAGGGAATCCAAGTTTTACATTGAAATATGTAAGAAAAATCTTTAAAAATCTTCTTCTCAAGAACAACTGGGCCAGAAAAACTGAAACTTATGTGGAAGCATCCAGGGTAGTGTTGATGCTAAATTGTAAAAATCATGATCCCCGGGGGTAGAGCGGGGCCACAATAAGTATTACAAGGGGGAAATCTGGTAAAGAACAGCATGGCCAAAGTTACTCTGGTGAGCGATGTGGCGCATGGGCCTCTTGTTTGTAAGTGCGTTGCCACAAGACACTGTAAACTTTTTTGTGATTAAAAAGTTTGGAAACAATAGTTGAAGAATATTTTGAAGAAATACATGTGGATTCAACTTGAAATCGAGAATAGACCTATTTGTGATTAAGAACATTATTTATGTTATTAATGTCAATAATTCCTTTTTTTGTCAAAATTTAGTTTAAGGAACCAGCGGGTTACTACAAGATTATTCTCCTCTGTAACACAGTGGTTTTAAGAGCGTTTAATTGGCAATATCCATAATAGCTGCAGAGCTGTAGCTCACTGCTTGAGAAAATGTAAAGCAGGAACTGAAGAAGCTAAAGATCCAAGCGTTTTAAAAACCTTCGATTTACACCGCCGCTTTTTTTTTTTTTTTTTTGTCGCTCACGTTTGCATGCTTTGGGTATTATTTCTTGTATTTTATGCTCTCTCCCGCCTTAAAAATGGTATCCGATAATTAACCATTTATTTTACTCCTATTCCTGATACTTTATTTACCTTTCAACGGTTCCTAACGGCCGTATTTAGTTTTGCTATAATTAACCCAGAATTTCTTCTTTCAGGAAATTCGCCAATGGTTGGATGGTATAAACAATGATTTTACCTAGTGTCAAATATAACACTTTCCTCGTTGCCGAATAAAATGTTTGAAGAGAATGCTTAAAAATATTTGGGTACACTAGCGTAATTTTGGGAGTCGGCCAGTCCAGACATAAAACTAGTACTGTTCTTGTCTTTAAAAAAAATGACAAAACATACGCATAGAACTTGTTTAAAACATGAGTTTAAAAACAGGGGAAAAAATCAAGCATACAAGAACAGAAAGTATCTTAATTTTATTAATTTAAAATAGAACAAAATGGAAGCCTACCATTATTTCTACGTACCCTGTAACATTTAAATACCAGTGTTGCATTGATCGACTAATGGTGCTTTAAAAGTTCTAACAAAATGCCTGATGCAATCACTGGAAATAGTGGTAAATATAAGACAATTCAATTTCAATAACCTGCAACAGCAGAGTGGCGCAGTGGAAGCGTGCTGGGCCCATAACCCAGAGGTCCGTGGATCGAAACCACGCTCTGCTAATATTTCTTCTTTTAAATGTTTAAATTATTTCAACATGTTGTTCTTATATGTGGATTCCAAAAAATTAAAAATAAAGCAAAAACCAAAAGGGGATAGGGTGGGATGGGCACTTGTAAGTACACCCCTCTCCTTTATAACTAAAATACATGGTGCGGTACTCGAGATTCATTCATCAAATCCGCTAATGGCGATTTTCCGCAAATGTGAATAAAAAAAATAAAAGTAATAAAAATTTCTGTTTAGATACTGGCATGCCAGAATTGTATGATCTTTATAAACTAGCTCTTTGTTTCGTTTATACTATGCACTATATGGTTTATGCACTGCATGCAGACATGAATTCAGGTTATGAAATGTAGGCATTCACTGGAAATCCACTTCTCCGTTATTATGGGCTGGAGCGGTTGGGTCATGAGGGAGATACAATATTAATATTCAATACTCAAAGTCCATTCAAGGTTTAGAGGTCCGAGGTTGCTCTGCTCCTGTTTCAGAGGTGGGATCAGGTGCCATGGAGGAGTGAGCATCCCCTACCCACCTGTCACACCCGCCTTGTGCTCCTTGTCATGATCGGGAAAAACGAAAAAAATCAATTCCGTGTGTAAATAATGGCGGGCTAACAATTAGTATGAAAAACGTCAGTCAGCATATTTGACTTAATGATAGATTGGTTTTGCTGACAAGGTCATTGTATCGACAATAGTACTTGCGAAATGATGATTTTAAACAAGAATGTTGATATTCTTGTTTATCAGCTTGTTTGTCAATGGCTTGCCTCGTTTTGGAAATTGTTCGTACGTAGTGCTCTTGCGTATATAAGCAACTGAGAGATACACACCCCATGTGCAGGTGATAAGGGATATATTGTTGCATAAGTAAGGGAAGCTGACGATTCAAAAGTTAAAGTCATCACGTTTATCATAAAGCTTTGTTGTTGGATTGCCATTAACGTCTTTTTCTTGTAAAATATACAAATATGAAACAGATGTGTCAGACTCTATGGTGTCTTTCATTTCAATCTCACTGGGATATATATATATCGAGTCGACATATGAATGGAAATAACTTGTTAATTGACATTTATGTCGTCGATATATCTAAATGTCAAGTTGAAAGCTACAGCAGGAAATATCTTTTTCACATGTATAGGATTTTGAATAAATTCTGCGTCATATGAATACAAAAATAGGTCTGCTAATAACGAGGCGCAATTGGTTTGTTCGAAGACCTGGTCTCCAAGAAACACACAGATATTGTCAATTAGAAACTCACGCATCCTTTTAATATCAACTTCAGAGTGTACATTCAGAATGTTTTTAACAAATTAAAATAATTTTGCAAATGATCAATGACAAGGTAAGTAAATTTACGAGTTCTATTTTAATTGAAAAAAAAGCTTTCAATGATGTCAAAAAGCCTGGACTTTAATTTATCATTGGGAATGGTTGTATAAAGTGTTGAAAAGTCGTACGTTTTGATCTTATTGATTTTGGTAAACATTTTGTGATCTCAAATTTTTCAAAAGTTCCTTGGAATCTTTAGGTATATCCACATCTGATTTACACCACTTCTCGAATATATTGTTGCACAGTACTCCTGAAGTCTCTCCATCACTGAGCTCCATTAAACTTAATACATGTATCAGACTGTTCGACATTATCGGACTGCCAAGGTAATTTTTTAGACTGTTAGAACAAAAGAATGACATCAAAGCAATGTTTAAATTTTTAATACAGAACTGCATTCGTCATAAATCCGTTATAGAGAATCTAATAAAAATCACTTGCCACTAAAGTCTAATTTGTGAGCTTAGCTCACTTCTGAGAAACAGGTATGAAACTGATTTAAAAAATGTAAGCTGTTCTTAGTGGTAAACCTGGCTTAAACACAGGTGTGAATACGAGCATGTGAGTAATTCATGTATTATTTGAATGACTGGAATATTTTCGTCGTAAACGTAATGACCATTTGTTCAGAAATGTCACTTTCTATAATTCATTATTCATTGAATCCATCTCAAAAACACCTTACAAAATACATAAATATACATGTACTTGCATTTTATGTGTCTGTGAAAAGTAAAGGCGACTTCACAAAAATAAACAGAGAAATTTGACATCGTTGGACTTTGTAGTCTCAAAAAATAAGTGTAAATTACTTATTTTTTTGCATTTTACATTGCTGCATAATGAATACATGCAAGGTGTTCAT